AAGAAGAAGAAGAAGAAGAAGAAGAAGAAGCAATAGTGAATCGCGGGAACTACGATAAGGGAGTTGACAATTATTTGTCACAGTCGACTGAAAATTTGAAAACCATTGATTCAATGTCAAATTCAATGGATCTCGTTCGTCTTGATGATGACACAACTGAACAATTGGTACCTAAATTAGAATCGAAGGTCAGCAACGAAGACATAGAAACATTGAACACTTCTCCAAGGATGGACATTGAGAAAGATGAGAGGGAGAGACATCGTACGGTGGAGATCGTTGATCTGTTGACAACGTTCGATTCTTTTCCATTTATAAAGGATATTCAGCGAGAGTTCACCAATCAGTATGATAAAGAAGACAAAAGGAAGTTGCTGGTGCAAGACAGCAATGTTGGCGTGATGTTTATGAATAACGACGCGGAAATGATACGCGTGAACAACATTTCAAACGTCGTTGAGTCCGGTTTCGTTAAGGAGATTGTGAAGCAGGAACCAAGTTCCATCGACATTCTGGCCGTGTCAGGCAATACCGGTAATATTTTCGACGAGGATGAGAGCAGAAGCACGAAAGGAAAGTCTCTTTCAAAAGTGAGACCAAGCATAATAGCGAGTGGCGCAATTCTTGGCGTAACTCTTGTAGTCTTCCTGGCGATATTCATCGTGTGCAGAATCCGGCAAAAGCAGAAATATAGGTACAAGAACACGTTTTCCAGAGCGGTGTTTCAAGATCCAGTGATGACAGCCAGGAAACTATCGAACTCGAGCAGCCTAAGCACAGTGATGGTCAACGTCGTGGCCACATCAACGACGAAAAGGCCAGAGAAAAACGAGAATCAAGAACCTACAGAGATGGATTCTAAGAGTGACATCGATAACGACTCGTTAGATGCTAACGACAGCTGGGAAACTATACCTGATTATATGAAATAAATTTATTTAATTATATTTGCAATATTGTCCCCCCTCCCCTAAGAAAGGCAAAAGAAAAGAACAATAACAGTATTCTCACATTTATATTAAGTTAAAGCATACACATATTAATTGTATACTTTAAGTTTAGAGATCATATTCACTCAGGCACAAAATACCACACGGAATTAAGCTTGGTTGTCAAGTAATGTAATGTTTTTTTTTATCGAACCTGTGCACTGACTTTGTAAACGTGGACGATTGTACATACGATTGTATAGAGCTCCTGATAGATTATTCCAATAATGAGATCTAATATAACTTAAGATTTAGATTACATTCATGTAACTTTAGGTCATATAAGATGTTATTTTAGTACTTCTTTTAATATTGGAAAACGTAGTAGATTTCTAGTATTATAAACTCATCCTTTAAACTTATACATACATATTTATTTATACAAATAACTGATAAGCGAAATAAATTTTCTTTTATATAAAATACGAAAATATTATGATCATTATATTTTATTACTCACCAGTATCTTTCATAAGTAAAAACATCCCTGAGTATAGCAGATACAGCATTATTGTTGTTTTGAAATACCTTATTAAAATAGGAATACTGTCTTGCAATATTTCGGCATTGTTTCAAAGCGGCTTCTACAACAAAAGTTACATCAAAATTTTATTGCCAAAATAAAATCTCGATAAAAATCAGTAAATTAACAAAAGTCAACTCCAAAATAATTACAATTAGTTTTTTGAAGATTTGTACTTGTAAATTCATAGTTCAATATCAATTAATCCCCTTAATATCTTACAATTTTTTCTAGAATTATAAAACATAAGAAAAGAATTTTGCTTTTCATCAATTTTCATGCTTTTTGACAAAATACATTTCGTTCTCAGTAAAAATATTTCCTACTATAAAAACTCATTTTGTAAAAATGAGGCGTCACAAGAAATTGAATCAAATAGACTCAAGGTGTTTGTAGTAAAAATTGTGAAACCAATATATCAGTCTTATTAGAACTAAAAGGATTAATAATTAATAGCCTCACTAATAATTAATAGCCTACATTTTTAAGAATGAAATTTGTAGCTTTTACGATTTAATATTACTTTTTATTATTAAAGCCATCACTTTATCATTGCAAACACTTGATTAAAAAAACAAAGATTAAAATTATATACTGAAATAAATAGACTTTCAATCAAATGTATCGACGTTTACCTAATGTAGGGCTGCCTTTAAGCTCAATCATATCAGCAGCGGTCATGTATAGTACAGTCGTGTAGGTGGTGGGAAGGATATCCAAATAAGGTTTCCATTTCGAATTTTCTTTGTATCTCTCAATGAGGAGGGCAATTGCAAGTGCCACTTGCGGCATATGTTGTATCAACGGATCATTTAGAATGGCGATCAACTCCGGAGCCGCATTATGAGTACTGAAAATAAGTCCCCTGGGTATCCTTAAGATCAACTCATTCTCTTGAAAATTACGTTCCGCTTTCAAGCCTAGGTCGTATCCTGGAAATTCGGCAACACTCGCTCCGTCTAAATTCGCGCCATTCTCTTTCAGCCAGTTTATGAATTGTCCAATCCCCTGGGACCGTTTTGGCGACTCCGTCTTCATTTCCTCCAACCGTTTAACCTTCTCCAAAATCGTTGATATCTCCACGTAATTGTCCCATAGTTGCGTTACGTATGCTGAATTAATGCTCACTATTTCAAAAACAAAAAAAGAAAAACATGAGAACCATTACTTTCTGCAATAGCACGAATCGTCAATAGATAAAGACGTTATTTGGTATATTGTGAAAAAAATACTTCGTGAAAATTCTTCTGCAATTTCTAAAATCCAAGAGGTTAAACAGGACACGCGTATTTCGTGAATTTTAGATCTTTAACGATATAAAATTCGCAAAGTGATCTTGCATTTGGTATTGAGATGCATTTGATTAGCTTTCAGTAACAATATTAATATTTAACCGCGACTGTTCGACGTTAAATGAACGTGCAGAAAATAGAATTGCAGGGGAAATATATCGATATTACAAAGGCATGTTCTATGAAAAGCGTACTCACAAACGAATAGTTTTTCGCACAAGGCATTTATCTCGTTTCTTTTCGCTAATGATAATTGCCTTTGGTGTGTAACGTGTTGTTTACTTTTAGACGATCCGTGAGATTTTCTTCTGCCCATGTTTGTACTATCTCACGGTGCTTTCGTGACTTCTTCTCGCATTCAGATGCATTATAACGTGTAACGCGCCTACACGACTGGCAAGAATAAACACTTTTCGCCGAAACGAAAATAGAACGTTCGACGATCTGGCTTCTCCCTCTCTCGGGCAACATAACCTCAAAACTACCAAGCAGAGCTACCACCGTTCCCTGTGTATCATGAACACCTCTGCACTTTATTGATTTTCAATTTCTGTTAGAGGTCACCTACTTTCGCAATTACGCCAAACTCCTTGTCGGAATTTACCCTTGATCGTTTTTTCCTCCTTTTCCCTCTGAGATACGCGCCCATGCCAATTCTCCTGAACAAATTTAAGACACGTTTAATAGTAAAATTGACCGTAACGTTGCATTTATGTAACAAAAAGAAAAAAAAAAGAAAGAAATGACTTTATTCAATATAACGATTGTATTATTTACGTTCACATTACGTGACATGACACCTCTTTCTAAAAAAATGCAAAATATATCTACATATGTACATATGCTTATGGTATACTTGTTATATATAAATATTAAGTATCATCTTTTTCATTTCTGTACATAAAATTGTTCAATGAAATAGAGTGAAATAACAGAGCAAAGCATAAATAACACGAATTTCTTTTTAGTATAAGATTTGTATTGTACAAAGTATTCAAATAAACAGACAATTTGATAAATCTTTAGGAATAAATTTATATTGCCTTTATATTGTTATATATAAAAATTATCATTAAGGAGGATCCAAAAACATATAGCTGAGATAATTATTTACAAACAGAAAATCAAGGCTCTAGTTTCTATTTTATATTTTTATATCTGTAAATATAGCTATAGTATTCACAGAAAAAAAAATCACATAATACTTATATAAAATATATAAGACTGTTAAATTTCATATCATTAAAAAAAAGGCACATTAAAGAGAAAATCACAAAATACGAAGACACAAAAAAAATAATAATTGAAATAAAAGTTTGGAAAATGTTTTTAATTTTGAAAAAGATAAGTATCTACTAATAGTTTCTACTAGTAATCTAATAGTTTAACATTTATTAATTTCATATAAAATTATTTATAATACTCACATTAATTAAGGCTAATAGCCATATATTCATCCTTATATTTAATTTCATAATATTCACATTTTATATTTAACGTAAAAAATATTTTCTTTTATATATTTAAGTCGTTGACTAAGAATACATTTTTAGAACCTCCTTAATTATTTATAAATTATTCAATTTGTGTACAACTAAAAAATAATATAATAAAACAATAGAGTTTTCCCGCTGCAAAGTACGATAACTATTAATTATCCATTTTTTTTACAAAAATATGCCAAAGAAGAGGCGATAAATATGATTTGGTTAAGAACAGAATCAATGTAACAGTTAATATTATTAATTGAAATATTTTATTTACTAATCTAACTTTATGTAAAATTCTTTTATTTTAAAATTATACATATAATTTTTCATAAAAACATTTCACATTTGTTTATTTTTATTAGAATATAAAATCTAATTTTAGATTACACTGTTATATTGTTTCAAAAACAACATCAAAAAAAATAAAAAACGAAAAAAAAGAGGAATAACATCTATATTAACTACTGAAAAATTCAAAAAACTTGATTAGAAAATTTATCATAACAGCATAATTTGTACCGAGTATATATAACTCACTATTTTTACATTATATATGAATACGAATTATGCAAAATTATAAGTACATTCTTATCTACATGTTACCCATATACTTGATATTTCTTTGCAGCGGAAAATATCTCGTATCTTAAATATTACAGATACGCATACAATTGTTATATAATTTAATCATACATATGTTATTTATACATCCTAACCTCTAAATAGAGCCTTAAAGACTTTTCTTTACTGCTACCTTAATAGAAATTTGTTTGGGCTCAATGAATTATGTATGTGTGTATGTCAAAAATTTTATACTTTGTAAAAACTGAAAATAACATATTTCATCCCCTTAATAAATCTGTGCGATATTTTCATTTAGTTCAATACAATTATTTTAAACATTTACAATTCTCTTTCTATATTTCAGACAATTTTGTTCACCATAGATACACGTTACAGTATACCAAATTTGCAGATCATATATTCCAAGTACTGTAGTCTACAAATGTTAAGACTTTCATGATTTTTAAACAGTTTATACAAGGATACCAGCTTCTCATGGATTTTTGCCTTGCAGCTAAAATAGCACGCGATGCATTTATGGTCCCTTGTTTTTATCACTAAAGTATTCAAAAAGAACAGTATTCATGGTTACTGTAGAGTGTATCAATATACTCAATTGAAGGGGAATTATTAGACTACAAAACACATAGTACATAAATATTAAATTATTTTTCATCCAATTCGTAACTATTGGAGTAAATTGTGCTGACACTATGGAATC